TGTTGGTGGGAGTGTAAATTTGTTCAATCTCTTTGGAAAGCAGTATGGAGGTTCCTCAAAAGACTCCACATAGAGCTCCCCTATAACCCAGCAATACCACTTTTGGGCATTTACTCAAATGCCCACAAACAAGACCATACTAAAGCTGCCAGCACAACTATGCTTATTGCAACATTATTTACTATAGCTAAGATACGGAACCAACCCAGATGCCCTCAATAGATGAATGGAGCAAGAAAATGTGGTATATATACACAATGGAATTCCATGCCTCCATCAGAAAGAATGACATTGCCCCATTTGTTAGGAAATGGAAAGACTTGGAAAAAATTATATTAAGTGAAGTAAGCCAGGCCCAAAGAAACATAGGTCCCATGGTTTCCCTTATTTGCAATAACTAGTATATGTCTGAGACAAGCAGAAAAGGTCAGATAAGTTGATGTAAGGCAAAATGAACCCCAAGATAAGGACTCAAATGTTTTTTTCTTTCTTGTGATTGTTTCTAACATATTTATAAGATGATTTTTTGTTGCTTTGCATGTCCCCCCGCCACAGTATAACCCCTGTTTTCACTGTATTTGATGTTGGTATAATTTGTGGAGGGGAAGGGAGAAAACAAATCTTTTACATAGGGATACAGGTGGACCCATTGCAACAATGTTTTGTATAAGACATTATGTTGAAAAACGAACTTTACAACTTTGGTGTGGGGGGCGGGAGGAGATTGGAAGGGATGAGAAAGGGAAACAAAGGAGGAGGCAACAATGCTTAGTAAGAAATGTACTCATTACCTTGCTCATGTAATTGTAACCGCTCTATACAGTATTTTCACAGTAATAATATGAAAAGATTCCTTCTTATCTCAGAATTGTGTACAATGACACATACCTGTCATCAAGCTGTCTGGGAAGAGGCAATTGGGAGGATAGTGGTACCAGGGTAGCCCACACAGAAAAGCTTGTGAAACTCTATTTCCATTGGAGGGAAGTTGGACCCAATGGTGCATACCTATGATTCTAACTAAATCGGAAAGCCTAAAAATAGGTGGATCGTGGCTCAGACCTGTTCCTGAGTGCAAATCCCATCCTACAAATAATCACAAAAAAAAAAAACAGGATTAGATGTATTTTCAATGGTATTGTGCCAGCACAGAAATAGTAAGGCCTGAGTTCAAACTGCACCACTGCCCCTTACTAATTGTCTAAAAAAGATATTTGGGGTTGGATAATGTTTTCACCAACATCATGAGGCTTTTATGGTTACTGGAGAGATGTGGTATTTCATTATTATTATTATTATTATTACTGATTGGGAGCCTGAGCTCTGGGCCTGGGTACTGTCCCTCAGCTCTTCAGCTTAAGATTAGCGCTCTACCACTTGAGTCACAGCACAATTTCCCACCTTTTCAGCTTATGTGGTGCCAAGGAATCAAACTCAGGGCCTCGTGCATGCAAGGCAAGCACTCTACCACTGACTTCCCAACCCAAGATGTGGTATTTCACTCAAGGTGAGAAAGGTTTTTGGGTAGGAGAATGACATAAGGTGATTTACATCCTAAATGTATTTTTTAATGGATGTCAAGAACAATTGTAGTACCCCTACAATAGCAGACTGTTGTTGCAATAGTTTAACTGTGAGTCTTTTGGCATAATGTTGGTAATGATAGAATCAATAAGACAGCTCCCCCACAGTATAACCCCTGCTTTCATTGTATTTGACATCAGTCTAATTTGTGGAGGGGAAGGGGAAAAACAAGTCATTTAAATAAGGATACAGGTTGTCATGTTGAAAATGAACTTTACAACTTTGGTGGTGGGGGGAGGCTGGGAAGGGATGGGAAGGGGAAACAAAGGAGGAGGCTACAATGCTTGATAAGAAATGTACTCATTATCTTGCCCATGTAATTGTAACCCCTCTGTACATTTTCACAATAAAAAAAGAATAAGACAGTAAAATGGGAGATAACTCAATTGGGCATTTGGAAATTGGTATGTGCACACCAGGATTCTTTAACAAATTCACCATGTAAAGTGAGAAGAAAGAAATATGAACAATAGTTTTGTATTGACTGGTCTTGTGCCAATATGAGAAGAGGAGTAGCTATATCCTCAGCTAGAAAAGAGTATTTCTAGATCAAATTTGAGATCTTAGAAATAATGGCATGAAATGTACATATCACCCAATGTGGATGAAATAACTGTATTGCAAAGCTCATAGAAATCATAAATGTTATGATAGACAATTTGTTCCATGAAAGTTAGAATGTGTTTGTGACTTTAACTAAGCATCACTATCCCACAATACTGTGAAATTTGGGGAATTATGTAACCACTTAATCACAATAAAAAAATTTGGAAAAAAAGAAATAATGGCATAATGGTGCTAAATGTCATTCTTGGCAACTTGAAAGCTCAGCATGTAATAGGCAATTTTTCTGTGGAACTTCTGTATGTACTTTATAATAGTTTATAAAGTTATCATTTCTGACCATGACTTTATGACTATCTGACTACATTGGAAGAAAGAGCATGCATATACATATATGTGTGTATATGTATGTATACATATGTATATGTATATATATGTATATATACACATATATACATATATATGTATATATATACTCTTTCTTCCAATGTAATCAGATAGTCATATATATACATATACATACATACATACATACATACATACATATATATATATATATATATAAACTTTTAGATTTAGAATTTTGGAGTTGAAATAGTCTTTCCCATTTCAAGTCTCTGAAAAAACAGAGGGCTGGTTTTACCAACTGAGGTATCAGAAAATTTTAAAGTAAAATTCCAGAAGTCTGACTTCTCTCTCAGGCTTTTCTTCACTACTATTTCCCCCTTTCTAAGGTCACAGAGATGACTAAATTAATTGAAACTAAACTGAGAAGTTAAAACCAAAACCAACAGAAGTAAAATATCAACTCCTACATTCAGAGTTTTTCCAGGCTTGAGGAATGGTTTCTGCTTTCTAGATGTCATGAGCCCTTTAGTCCCCAAAGGCAATACTGTACATTTTAATTTTTGACATTTTCTAATTTATGGTATTTTGTAATCAATTGCAGTGTAGCATACCACTATGAATTATATATCTCAATATAGTTATTGGATTTGCTCACTATTTTGTGAATCAGCAATATAGCAGAGAATTCTAGACCTAGTCTAATACAGTAAAGGATTTTAGTTGGCTTCCTTGAGACCATTTATGTGACCACCATCAGCATGTTGGCAAGAGCTTCGCTAGTCTAGGGGAACAAAGATCAGAGAGTTCCTCTATGGAATGTTTGGTCTCTGTTAGCTATCATGGGTCCATTATATGATACAAAAGGGTTCCCATCAGTAAGGGGAAACACTTTAACATAGACCTATTTTAAAGACTCACTTTGAATTGTGCCTTCTGGACATAGCATCATGTTAACCTGAGTTTCTCCAGAAATAACATTTGGATCCTTATTACTGTTCAGAGATAAGGGTTTGGATGAAATCACTTTGAGGAAAATGACTTCAGTCCTCACTTAAGCATTCCAGTATGCATGACTAAGGAAGTAGCAAAATCAGACTTGGAAAGAAAGGAAGTCATGATAGGTGCATTTTAGAGCAGGTTATCTTAAAGAATAGCAAGAACTCACTCCCAGGAAGGAACTTTAGGAGAAAGTATAGAACATTCACAAAGCATTACCTCTCTCAAAGAATGCCTTGAAGTTTTATCAATGTCAGTTATTATGCTTCTGGCCTATGCCATGGGTAAACGAGTTCCTTGCCAATAATCACATGTGAGTGTAGATGTCATTGTCCTCAGATGAAACAGTATGTATCATTGATCACTGGCTTCTACAGCCATGGTAATTCCTCACAATGATCCCACCACCATGCTAGCCCCATGCTTGGTTATCAGTAAGCCTTGGCCATTGGATTGTTTGTAGTGTGTACTTTAGGAAAAGAAATGCATGGTTTGATGGAGGTAAACTGACCTCTAAGAGCATGCAGTGGGACCTAAATCTATCTTCACCACCAATTTTACTCTGCTTTCAGTTTTATATTTAAAAATCTCAACTCTTCATTTACTTTTCCTACCTTTGTGGGATGTACTAGACTGTGTTCCCTGAATTCGAACCTACCTGGAGTTATGACGACCCTTTTATCTAAGGATGTGAGGCATCTAACAGGGCAATTGATGAAAAGTAGGCTAATGTGAAGTGCCAAGAATTGTTTCAAACAAGGGTCCATTTGACTCCATGATTTCTTGTGGAGAATAAATTCTGTGAATGTAGCATTCTAACTGAAGACAGATAGGTAGAGTAAAAAGTATGGTCAGACATCAGAGGTTTTGGAAAGCCAAATTTGAGAGGTACTCTTTTGGGGATGTCAACCATGATATTGAGGGAAGAAGTGGTGTGAGGATCAAAATTCTTTTAAGAGTCAGCGTGTCAGACACGGGTTGATGGAATAGAAGAGTCAATGTGCCAGAAATTTGCTAATAGAATAGATGGGCAAGACTTAGTATCTGGGATACCATGTAGGGACTTATAGAAGTAGTCTAGAAGCAGAAAGAAAGGACATAGCTAAATTAGGGGTAGAAGGAATATGACAAGAAAGTATGGGTCCAACCATCTATCTTTCCCCTTGACAGGCAGTCAGAAGGCCCGGATTAAAATAATCACTATTTTCTTTCCTTCATCATGACAAGCATGATGGAGGATGGGCTGTTGACGTGTTTGACTTTTAGCAACCCATGCTTTTCCCAGATGCTTTACATAAACTCCTAAGTCCAAAACTGCTTTGTCAAATGTGAACTCCTTCGTGCAACTACTTAAAGATAATATATATATAGTTTATTTGTATAAATTTATAAATTTGTGTGTATATATACATACATATACATATATATATACACAAAAAAGAAATAAAAGGACAATAATAACTTTACCTAAAATTCACTTGATGCCTGTTTCTCTTTGCTCCCTCTAGTATTTACAACTACGATTCAACAAACCAGTCCGCGTGGCAGCAACAGTCATTTACATTGTGCAGACGGTAAGGGGCAATAGCTGCTGCAGTGGACATTAAAGAGATTCCAGATACAGTTACAGTGCTGTTATATGTGTGTGGGGGGAGGGGGAATTAACTACAGACAGAATTCCTGGACCAGCTACCACTTTCTTCCAAATGTAGCATTTTAGGGTATGTGATTATCTTGAGAGCCATCCACATTGCCTTAGATTCCATGTACCTGGACTAAAAATAATAAATGGACAATATAAGCCACTAAGGTTCTTTCTTCAGATTTATTTCACTAGTACTTTACTTGTCAAAAATTTAAATATGTAATGGCCTGATAACAGTTTTTAAACAATATTTCGAGATCAAAATCTCCCTATGTAGCCCAGTACATGTGGGATGAAAATTCCCAATATGCTACATGCTACGATTACAGACATGACCAAGTCTGACTAGATAGGTTTTTAAACTTCTGAACTGAGTTGAACTAGAAGATTCTGTGTTTCACTCATTTCTTTGTTAATATATATTTTTATTGTAAAGATATTTTACAGAGGGGTTACAGTTTTATGGGTAAGATGATGAGTACATTTCCTATAGAGCATTGTTATACCCTCCTTTGTTTTTCCCCTACCATTTCTTTGTGATAACTTTCCTAATCAAAACATCATCTTCCCTTTTATGACTTCTTTACCCTCCAGACATTGGTGTACCTTCATGATGGCACAAGTGTCCTGCTTGCACACAGTCTGTGCATTTCCTACTCTCCACCAAGGACTTTCTACTAGAAGATAACTTTCTTCTCTCTTAAGCTAAACTCCCACCCAGGCCCGAAGGATGTAAGCAGGATGAAAGGAGGAATGCAGCTCTACCTGACCTGCTACCAACATCTGCTTTTAGAAACCCTCTCCGCAATCTCTAGAGGGCCGCATTCCATTGAGAATAAGATGATTTCTGACCCCATATATTTCAGCATAGCAACTATAATTCTGAGAACTAGAAGATGAATCCATTATGCAGGTCTCCCCTGTTGCTAATCTTCCTTTGCATAGTTCTTTTCATCCGTTCTTTCCTCTAACCACTCTAAATTTAGTATTTCAGCAAATGGCTGAAATGTGCATTTATTCTTCAGTAAAGTTTCTTATGAAGTGAGCACACAGCCCATGATAAAGGTGAATGGGGGAACTGCAGAGGGCTGGTAAATGTAAAACCTAATTTGAATCATTTTCTTTTTCGTATCTCTTAGAAGTATACAACATGACCATAACATCTCAATCAAGGCCAGAAATATTTAAAAATTCCAACCCTCTCCCCGTATCTAGTGTTTATATCTTCTCTACAATAACTGTAATGGTAAACAACTTCAGCATTACAGTAGATGGTAGTGAAATGTTAGCTGAAGAAGTAGAAGGACTTAGGCCCAAAGTTCAAGCCCACGACTAACAACAACAACAACAACAACAAAAGTAGAAGGAAACAAATCCCTATAGGCTTGTTCCACACATATACTAGTTATAAGCAGAAAAGATCAGATAAAATGATGTTAAGCAAAATGAACCCCAAGATAGGGACACATATGTTTTTTTTTCTTTCTTACTATTGTTTCTAACATATTTATAAGGTACCATGTGTTTGTTTTGTTGTTGTTGTTGCTTTGTATTTCCCTCCCACACGGTATAACCCCTGTTTTCACTGTATCTGATGTTGGTACAATTTGGGGAGGGGAAGGGAAAAAACAACTTGCTTAAATAGGGATGCAGGTAGATCCATTGCAACAATGAGATGCACAAGATCCTATGTTGAAAAACGAACTTTACAATTTAGGAGAGCAGGGGGAGTGTAGTTGTGGAGGTGGGAGGGAAGGGATGATAGGGGAAAAACAAAGGAGGAGGCAACAATGTTTTTAAGAAATGTACTCATTACCTTGCTCATGTAACTGTAACCCCTCTGTACAGTATTTTCACAATAAAAAATTTATTTAAAAAAAAGAAAGAAATCAAGCACAGAAGAAAAAAAAGGTATCTCTACAGGCATCAATGAATGAACATTCTAGGAGTTTCCTTTTTCATTTCTCTCTTTTTCACTTTTGTTTCTACCTTAGATTCTCTACACAGGGGTGGTGGTGTACGCGCCTTCTCTGGCACTCAATCAAGGTGAGTTATCAATGTTCTATGAGCATACAACACTTCTTTTTTTCCTAAGTTCTCAATTTACAGAAATATGCATAAAATTTGTTGAGCATTAGAAAGTAATACAATTTATTTCTTGATTTTGCCTCACCATAATATGTGTTAGTAAACATGCAGTTCAAATTATCATTTGATTTGTTTTGTTCTATCAGCAAAATTATAGCTGTGTGGGTGTTTTATATTCATAAGCAGTAAACCAGATCATTTTAACATAGGATCCCTTTCCCTAGACTTCATGAATTAAATAGTCTGAGCACAAGAGTAAAAAGTGTCTGTAGTAATGGCACTAATTTGCATAGTTGATGCATTGAAAAGAATTGAATTCTAGAAACACAAATAAAAGGAGACAAAACAAGATAATAACTTGTGCAATGATATTAAACATATTTCAAGTCCTCATTATTCAATGTAATTAGGCTCTGTGCTTATAATGAGAAGTATTGATTTCTCATTAACGTTCAGATTATTCAAAATTATTTAAGCAGACACAAAATACAGTGAAACATTGGTACCAAGGATGGGAGGTGCAAAAGTCTTAGAAAAAAAAACATAAGTATATAAAATTACATGAAATAGATGGACTTGCTTAGAAAATAAAAAGGTAATAAAATAGTCTTGCTAACAAGTCAGCAAATTCTTGGCTACTACAAACACTGATGAAAGCATTGGAACTTTTCTCATAAATTTACTCTTTCACCTTTTTCAGAGAAATTTAATGTTTTTTTTTGTTTTTTCTTAGTAACTGGGTTTGATCTCTGGGGCTCTGTGTTTGCAACAGGAATTGTTTGCACATTCTACTGTACCGTGGTATGTATCTAGCTGTGAAAAAAATATTTAGCAGTACCTTCTAATAAGACAAACTCTTAAGACTAGAACATCAAAATTTAGTAGAATTGTTGTTCTAAAGTAGAATGAAGTCAGCTTCCTGAAAAAGGTGTTGTTTGTTTTTATTTAAAATTCTTTTCAATACCAGAAATTAAGAAGAATTGAGTGCTAAGTCATTGAAGGAAGTCCTATCTACTAGGAGATAATTTAATAAAACAGTATCTCCATGATCAGAGAGTAGGCCTCTCTAGCCAATTTTTGTTCCTAATAATACTTATAAGCCATAGGAGCACTTTGTTTCATTTACTAGTAGTTTAACAATAATGAAATACATATATTGATGAGCAAGCATATAGTTGGCAAAACATGAGAATTCTATAGCTATTTTGTCTTTTATTTGTATCTGTGCTTAGATTATATATAAATATAAAACTTTATTTGAAACTTATTTTTATATGTTTTAGAAATATAGCACATATGCCCCTTTACATATTATTTCATATGCTCAGATTTTACTCAGGTATGTTCTTTGGTACTTATAGAATATTTATATAATTGATACAGTTAGTGGAATCCAACAAATAAATAGTCATTGGGCAATTAGAGTTGGCCAACGAGATTTTTATTCTTGTAAGTCATTGTAGTATCTGCTGCTACTACTTCGCCACTAAACAATATAGCAGTAGTTCCAACTCAGTTGGATTCTCTTTCTTTCCTACAAAAAATAATAATTTAATTTTACTATATTAGAGACTATCCATTTATTTTAGCTTTATGCTCATATCACATACACTTGATGATTTATGTCACAATAACCTACAACTTAAAGTGATTTTATATCTCTTTCACACACTTGCAAATCCCATCATTACTTTGCAAAGTGTGATCATTACCTTTTCCATTCCATTCCCACTATTTATGAATTCTCACAAATTTGTTTGAGTCTCAGTTTAAAAAAATTTGTGTGAGTCTCAATTTAAAAACATAGGCTCTTGCTCCCTTTGCTCTTGTCCTGTCTGACAGATGAGTTATTGAGGTAACTGTCCATAGAAGAACTGGATTTTAGGTACAAGTTTTTGATTGTTGGTATTGCTCATGGTATTATATCTCCATAAGAACATCTTCCCTTAAATAAAGTTAAAAAGTAGTGTAACACAATTAGTATTTTAAATATAGTTTTAAATATATAAATGATCATAACTAGAATTTGGAAGGCATGATACCTAGGCAGGAAGCATGGGACAGATCTGAGAGCAGGTGCTCATCCAGTGGTAGGATTCGGTTATAAGCCTTGCAGGACAGAGCAGCTGAGCTGGTGCTGTCTTGTGAGCCTTGTGAGGAAAACTACAGTGATTCAAGTTCAGTGATACATTTTGAGTCTTACAAGGAAAAAGGTACAAATTTTCTCCAGAGGAAAATCCAGTTAAGGACTCTATAATATTTCACAGACAAAAACACAAATGAATCCTCAAATAATCATCAGACTGAAAAAAATAAACAAACCAAAAAACATGAGAGAGGATGAGCAAAGCACCCAAGTCTATTTTCCCAGGAGCAGCATTTCTTTGAAATTTCAAAATGGTGAATAAAGGATAGGAAAAGCACAAACTACTTAAAGATGCAATGGATACACTTTCAACTTTTGGAGAATTCCAGATTTTGAATTTTCTGGTTAGGTATAAGTTAGGTAGTAAAGTCTCTAAAAATAGTCCAAACTTTGAAAAACTATGAAAAATGAAACACATCTGCTTTTAAGCATTTCAAATAAGGGATGCTTAAAATGTACTAGGGATCTAGTTAAGCTAGACAATTTGTAGCACTTGATAATTATAATTTATATAGCATATTATTTTATCATATGCTCATTTATAATATGAAAGTTGAAAATAATAACAGCTATTATTATTTAAAATTTAAGGATTAAGGAAAAGAGTGCTCCACCTCCAAATGTAAAACAGTGTCATATAAATTAGAAATAGCAAGCAAATTTAAAAGTTTTATAATACTTCCATTTGGAAGATCATGGAGTTGCCGATCATAGTTTACCAAAACTATTCATCATAAGTCAGGCACTGGTAGCTCAAACCAACAGACATATCCATTCAGGAGTTTGAGATGTAGAGGATCATGGTTCAAAGCCAGCTTGGGAGGAGAAGTCTATAAGATTTCATTTCCAAAATTACCAGCAAAAAGCAGGATTAGGGGCATGACCTAAGTAGTAGGGAACCAGTAGAGCAAAGGAGTCCAGCAAGTATGAGGACTTGAGTTCAAACCCTAAAACTTTATGGCATCTCATTTAAGTAAGTCAATTGAAATGGAAAAGCATGATTTAAATTTTAAAAAGTCAATTGATCTAAGCATGAGAAGAAGAAAATAAATAGGGCAAGCAGAGACTCAGAAGTCTTGCTGATATGCCCTGCTGCTGAAGCATGCCATCTTCCTAAAACAACCATTTCTCCATGCCAAATTACTAACTTCATTTTCTTCTTGCTGTTCATTCAGGTTGAATAATCAGCTTTTCAGTATATGCTTAAAAATCTCTCATTTTGTGTGCATCTTACCTCGCCTCGGATTCATCTCTCTTTAGTCATGCTAGAGGTATCCCACAAAATTGATGGTCTATTTATCTAACCTGTATGATCCCTTGAAGTCTTTTTACTGTGAAACACATTAGCATGTACAGTATGTGGGAAACAGCATTGGAGGAGACTTTAAGAGATCATTCCTGCTTTTGAAAGGTTCATAATTTATGGAAGTGAGCATTAAACCCCAACAACACAGAATGATTATATACATAAGAGAGAGGAGAGAGACAGAGAGATAGAAAGAGACAGAGACACAGAGAGAGAATTGGTTTATGAAAGAGTCAGGTGAGACTTAGTAATGACTACTATAATCTGACTCTTCAGGAATATTTGTAGCTTATTTTCATGATGTTTATGTAGAGTTTTTTTTAATAAATGCTGTCAAATAGATCTTGAAGACTGAAGACTTTATCATTCTTCATGTTACTAGCTAAGATTTGAATTAGAAAGGTTTAACATTTTTTAAGGAGTGTAAGAGAATACTATCTAGGAAGAGGAAGGGAAGGTATTTACTGGTCCTCAGAACAAGATTTGAATCAAATCATTAACATTGCTTTAGCAGAAATCTTATTATTAATTTAAGTTAAACTTTAATTTAAAAAACTAAATGGTGGGGGTGACTCCAGGATCTCCTTCTCAAGCTAAAGGTAAAATTGTCATCTCTCCACAGAAGTTCTTGACACTCTGGAGGAGTGAACTGGAATATTTAAAAATATCCTTTCATTTTCCAATTGCTTAATGTTCAAAACACCTTGTATGACACTTCACTTCATTTCCCCATTTTCTCATCTCAGCTTAGTTGTCCTGAGGGTTTCTATATGAGGACTTGTTGAAATTTTTTTAAGTTTCTCAGTGACGAAGGGTGGTAGTGTGGTAACTACTGGTTGAACCTCATGTATTACACTATGTCCTGATTGCTATGCCCAGACTCATTTTCCTGAAGCTCTGGCTATTTGACCATCTGGTAGCTATTAAATCTCATTTCTCCATGAATATCTAGAAGAAACATTTCTTCCTCTTTTGTTTTTGTTTTCTTATTTTCAGCCTTCTCAAAATGTATTCATGATCACTGGTTTCATAAAACATCTCATTGGACTCATGTAACTATTCTTACTTTCCTGCTTGCCATAGTGCTTGTGTTTAATGAAGGATGAGTTTTGCTTTATGTCTCTTGGATTTATTTCAACTCCATCAACTTCTATCTCTGTTTCAATCTGTTGATCTTCCTGGGCATAGATGGCTAAAATAAGGTCAGGTGTCTTCTTCTGACCTCTCATTTTCCACATCCTTACAAATTAATTATCCACACAATGGAACAACTGTGAAACAAATAAATGTTCCTCTCATCATCTAACTCCTTTAGTTTTAGAGAAAACGTTTCCGTCACATTGTTAGGATCTAGCTGACCTCTAGAAAATGTATCAACCTCCCCTTCCATCTGTATCAATCAGCTTTCTTTCATGTCCTAGGGATTCATGATTCTCCTTCCTTCACCCATCCTGTTCCTACCCTCTCTTGGTCCTCAATGTATGGAAAATTCCTACGCATCCTGTAGAATTAGCTCGATGTTTGCTTCTTAAGATCATGTCCTCACAGTCACACTCATCACATTTTTCACAATTTAAAGTAATTATATTGCTACGTGATAATCCACTTCTCCAATTGAGGGACTTGTTTCCGTCATTTATCATGTTAGCCCCACATTTAATACATCCTTTGGCACATAGCAGCCCAGTAATTCTGACTGAATAATGAGTAGGAACACTGCCCACAGTTAGAAGGATCGCAGGCCTCATTTTGGAGACTTCTCAGCATTTGCTCCATTTCAGGGAGGACTTAAAGCAGTGGTATGGACAGATGTGTTTCAGATGGTCGTCATGTTTGCGGGCTTCTTATCGGTTCTGATTCAAGGATCAGCGAAGGCTGGTGGGTTCCACAATGTATGGGAGCAAGCCAAAAATGGATCCCGACTCCACGTGTTTGAGTACGTCCACGGTTACTTTTTCATGTTTTATAAGGTTGTAAATGCAAATCCTCATCAAGTAAAAATGCTATCTAGGTGTGAACAGAGCGTTTTTGTTCTTTCGTTTCTTTCTGTCTCATAGTTTTGACGTGGATCCTCTCCGACGACACACGTTTTGGACACTCTCAGTGGGAGGAACATTTACATGGCTTGGAGTCTACGGAGTTAATCAATCTGCCATCCAGAGATGCATTTCTTGCAAAACAGAAAAGCAGGCGAAGCTGTAAGTTGTTGGTTAAGGAAAGCATTTCATTTTCTCTCTCTTTCCGGAGCTCTTAATACAGATCCTAGGGGTGTTACATGTATAGGAAAGAAGGAGCTCAGTGGAGATATTTATTTCACTATTTCAAAAACTCTCTGAAGCAAACAGCCATTCCCTTAACAAAGAAGTGACAAAACTCTAGCTTAAACTGAAGTTTACTTGCCTTTATGACTGGCCTTCATTTATTAAGAATTGCAATGTTAAATTAAATATAGTGGATAGAAATGAAATGATGATTGGAGTTTGTGTTGTGTTCACAGTTTCCATGATGAGATGACTAATTTCTATTTGCTTTGAAAATGAAATTTGAATTGAAATGTCTAATTTCAAGTTACTACATGGTGTGGTCTCTTCAACTATTAATTTTTCATGTGTTAAAAGGTAACTTAAGGAATACTACAGTGTTAATTGGAGTTACAAGGGTTTGAACTCAGGGCGTTATATGTGCTAAGGTAGTGCTATAGCATTGATTGATACCACTGGCCTTTTGTGCTTTAGTTTAGTTTCTTGTGCTGTTGCCTGGGCTAGGCTTCAACCTATATCCCCTTAGCCCTGCCTCCTGATTAGTTGGGATTATAGGTATTCACTGCTATGCTTATCCCACAATACACTTTATTTTAAGAATTTATTTGAGCAATCAACAGTTCAGGAATCAGACAGCTGCAAACCAGAAGCTGTCTGGGGAAGTCACTGCAGTGGCACAGGGCAGAGCTTTTACAGCACAGACTCAGAAGTAAAGCAAAAGAATTTGTTTTGACTGCTTGCTGTTAAAATAGCTTCCTTATTTAGTTCTTTCTGCTGAAAAGTCCCTTGTGCAATCAGTTGGTTATCATTTTCTGATTGGCTACCCTTACTTTTCAGTTTTCTTTAATTTACAAGGAAAAACTCTAATTAAGCTAATGTTTTATTTGCAAATCAACAAAGTTGAACTCTTTTCTGAAATCTGTCTTTATCTGCTAAGAAGATCTACAGGTCTGTTCTGTTTACTTCCATGTATGTATTTACCTCAGAAGTTTCCAAGGTGAGGTTAGAAAACAAAGAAGGGTAGTGTGGTATGGTAAGCTATAATGGGCTATGACTTCTCCAACTCCTATCAGGCTTGCTGCCATTGAAATAAATGGAGGAAACACAGTTGTGTAGCTTCTTCAAGCACTAAAAGACATCAAGTGCTTTATCATAGGCACCCAAGGCTTTTCTGTGCTAGTTCACAAATGGTACTTCATTTCATTGCTACTGCCCAAGCCTGCAACAGCTCTCGCCTGAAGAGGATGCCCTAAACTTTTCTTAGAGAAGACTTACCATTACTAAGCCTTTACAGTTACATAATTTTTAAACTATTTCAATATTCTATTTCTTATTTTCTTTGAATAGATCATAAAAATGCCTGGAAATGGTTCAAATGTTTGATAAGTTGAATTCCAAGGAGTATTATAAAGTTATACACATATGTGTATATGTGTATATATGTATGTATTTGATAACTCAGGAAAGAAGTGAATGCATTATCCATCATTCATTCATTCATTCACTCAGTCATTCACTGTTGACATATTCAAATTTTGTTACAATAAAAGACAGTAAAATGAACCTTCCAAACACAAACACAGACACACACACACACACCACACAGACACACAGATACACACACAGACACACACACACACACACATACGCCATCAACTCTTTATCAAGCAGCTGTATTGATAAAAATACATGTGATTGTGATCCTGGAATTAATTTGAAGTGGAACTTCATTTAAAATATTGCTTAATCTTAAGCTGAAAAAAATCTATAAAGAGAAGAGGCCTCTGGAGAAAGAGGGAAACATTGGCTGTTAAATCAAGCATTTTGATTATTCATATTTCTTTGCTTATCCTTTATTTTTGAGACAGAATCCCCTTGTGAGGCTGGCCTCAAGCTCATGGGTTTAAGAGAAGTACCTGCCTCAGATTCCCTGCAGCTGGAACTACAGGCACATATCACTAAAATAAAATAAATTTAAAGCCATATAGCACAAGTGGCTGGTATGTATTTTGAGATTTTGAGGGGGAAAGGTCCCTATGGAAAAAGAAAACCCAAGTAAATGTTATCTTATTCATATTTATTAATTACATTAAAACAGAATGCCCAACATAAATGTATAAGAAAGTACAAAATATGTGTAAAATATGTTTCTTCAGGAATGATCAAGAAAAAAATATTCCTGACCACAGGAATGGCCTGACCACAATATGGCATGGCATAGCACTTACCAGCCTTCCCCTGTGCTCTTTTCTAGTGCCTTATATTTTAATTTGTTGGGTCTCTGGATCATTTCTTTCTGTGCTGTCTTCTCTGGATTAATCATGTACTCCTACTTCAAAGATTGTGACCCTTGGACTTCTGGAAATATCTCAGCACCAGACCAGGTATGCATTTCTTTGATTTCATCAAGAAATTGAAGAATCACTGAAATTCTGGACATGGTTGGGTAATATTGGACCTATTTCTTGTTTTCCCTGCACCTGCAGCCACTTCCCAAATTCCAAGGCCTTGGCTTTTTTACTTCTGAGTAATATAACAAATGCAAAGTTCTAATGAGGGGAGTGTACATGTGAAATGAGGACAGCTCAGTTTGTCTTTGAACACAAGGCCAGACAAGTGTAGGGAGAAGAGGTTTTGAATTCATAGCTCTGTTGGTTGATGTTGCCTTTATACTGTTGGCTCTAGTTTTCCAGCATGAGTCATGTCAATATAGTACATTAAAAGTGTTTATATAAACCCCATTTACAGACAATATGCTCAGGAATGGCTATCATTCACCATTTCTTTATTCATATATTCAACTTTCTCTTTCTCTCTCCTTCTCCATACATTTTCTTTTTAGTTGATGCCATATTTTGTTATGGAGATATTTGAAACTATGCCAGGACTTCCAGGACTTTTTGTGGCTAGTGCCTTTAGTGGAACACTGAGGTTAGTATATGGCTGGACAAAAGATGATGATGATGATGATGATGATGATGATGATGGTAAAACAGAGTGATGATCATAATGATTAACACTGACTTGTTAATTCATCTACTGACTGCTTTACTTTGATGTGATGTCAGGTAGCATATGAGAATAAAAATTTACCAATATCATCATTGCAGCTTAAGATCCTGAGACTTTAGTAGATTTCTTTTCCATGAGAAGTTAATAAACTGTGAAGCAGGATATAGGCCTAGATTTCCCTCTAAATCTAGACCTTTCTTATTTATCACAATATTGTCAATTCAATAATATGCAAATATCTTACAATGTAAGAAAATTTGTGTTGGTTTCCAGTTCTGGAGATTTCAGTCCATGAACAAGTGGCTCCATTATTTTGGATTTGTCAGCAGGAATTGTATCATGTTGGAGATTGTGACAGGGCCTAGTGTTGTCCCTTGGTCTTTTCTCTGAAAGCTGGTCCTTTACCATTTGAGCAACACTGCCACTTACTGATTTTTGTTGGTTAATTTGAGATACAAGTCTCACAGACTTTTCTCCCCAGGCTAGCTTCTGACCATAATCCACAGAGCTAGGCCTCATGAATATTTAGGTGTGAGTCCACAGTACTGCAGTTCTTTGAGCTTTAACTTTTTTCAAATCAATAAATGTCTTTTACTTTTTTTCCCCATTAATTATACTTCTGTATATTATTTTCTGTATAATTGAAATCAATGGCAGATACTTAATGTGCAAACAAGAATAATTTCTTATGTAGGTTAGAGGACAAAATATCTGGGTTGTGATTTTGCAATGCCTTATTTGGTCTAATCATTTATTTGAGTAACTAATATATCTCTGGTCGATGTAGCATGGAATATACACTTTCATGCTATTCTGCAAAGAACCTTCGAGTGTTTAAACTCCTAAGTTATTTTTGCTTCTAATTAAAATTGATTGGAAAGTCCCAAAGAGAACATATGCCATATGCATATAAAGCAAAACTTTAACACAATTTGGGCTTGTAACTTCACAGTCTTATTGCCCCTCCATTTTTCTGTTTTGATTGCATTTCAGCCACAATAGTGGTTTAGGTTCTATGCTTCAGCAAGCTCCTTTCCACCTCAATTAATATACTTGTGATTTTCATCTTTTTTAAAAAAGTTTTTTGGGGGGTCTGGTCGTGGGGCCTGAACTCTGGGCCTGGGTGCTGTCCCTCAGCTCTTCAGCTCAAGGCTAGCACTCTACCACTTAAGCCACAGCGCCACTTCAGGCTTTTTTCTTTTTTTGCTTATGTGGTGCTGAGGAATTGAACCCAGACCTCAGGCATGCAAAGCAAGAGCTCTACCACTGAGCCACCTTCCCAGCCCGTAATTTTCATCTTTGACCATGCTTTCCCTCACTTGGCACAAATTCCTTCAATGTCTTCCTTAACAGTTACTTGCTAAGGGAGAATTTTTAACTATCAGTTTATATCTCTGTTAGATTATTCTTTCACAGAGCCTTGTTCCTTCCTTTTATAACAATTTTGCAACTGTAATCATTGTGCTATTGGTTGTTCAATGCCTGTATTCTTAGTTAGAGTAAGATTTGTCTTATTCCAGTTCTCATTTTATGATACATGCCCAGAATAAATAAATAGATGCATGACTAGTTAACTAGATAGGTTATTAATTAATGGTAACTACAATAATGGTGCTATGATATGTACTTCTTCTGTTCTTGAGCCTAAATGTGAGTGATCTCTCTCTGTATCTCTCTCACCCACTCTCTCTCCCTCCAGTCTCTCTCTCTCTCTTTCTCTCTCTCTCTCTCTCTCTCTCTCACACACACACACACACACACACCTTCTGTAAATTAATGAAAGTCAGAGACTGAAATTCAAATTTCTTTCATAAAATTTGTGGAAGAATTGAAGGAGCACTTTCAGCAAATAAGCTTTTAAGAATGAGCAAAAGAGCCATATCATTTCTTTGAAGTTTTAGCGATGTATGTATCTGTTTCACAGAAAGCCCTTCTTGTCTATCAGGCCTAGAAGACAGGGCCTGCTGATATAGCAAAGCCTCATTTAATGTGGATTACATTGTTGTTTTTCTCTCCCTGTAGCACAGTGGCTGCCAGCATCAATGCTTTAGCAACAGTGACCTTTGAGGATTTTGTCAAGACCTGCTTTCCCCATCTCTCTGACAAGAAGAGCACTTGGATCAGTAAAGGCTTATGTAGGTACAGCTGGTGGCTCTTCCATTCTATTTCATGAATGTACATGTGGTATGTGTCAAAATCCTGCATGTGCTGTTTAGGATGCCCTAATTGGCATAGGTGGCTATCAGGATCCATGGAGAATCTCACATAGAGATTCTCACACTTTCTCAGACACCACTAGGAGGTTAATGGGGAGGAAAGACCAGCTAATTCCTTTTATACTGGTTGAATTTTCAGTCTACTGCTCCAGACTCATTATATCCACATTTTCTGATCACATTATGTTGACCACATTAGCCATTCTCCCTGGGGAGATGTTCTATTCAATATGGCTGTTCACTTGGTCAAACTGAAGTTACAGTCACTTTTTAAAAGAATTCTCTCTTAAAACAAACTCCTGGTAACTTCATGTTAAAGAACATTTGCTCCTCATTTAATCATAGAATTGCATTTCATAATTATGATGACTGGAACATTTAAATTATAGAATTTTAGTTTTATGAAGTTTACTTCTTTTTCATTGGACACTACATTTACTTAGTGTAGAAAATCCAGGAAAAGATTCTGACTATGTATATAAAATTATTTCTATCCAATTTTGCTCTTGTTTTGCTCATGAAAAATTATAGTGAGCACTTTCATTGTCACTATGTATTCTTTGGAAATATTATATTTGAATAACAGTACCATATTCTTTTAAATTAATTATTTGCTTATTTTTTCAATTTTTGAAGCACTGTTATAAGAACGACATAGATACATTTCACTGCATATTTATTTTTCCCCACAGAACAAATTTCCAAAAGTTGAATTAGTTTAAATAATATTAATTCATATAATGACCTGATTTATACTAAGAAAAATAATTCCAGTAGAATTGAGTCAAGAGTTATGTGTGACATATTTCCCTGGGTATTTTATATTAATATTGTTTGAAAATACTTAAACTAATGGAAAATTAACAAACTTGTATTTTGGGCCATCATCATTCTTTTAAAACTTATAGTGCATTTAAACATTTTCAGATTGTTACTCATTTATATTTTTGTGAGAAAATCATTATAAACATTCTATGTGCTTTTTGATAAAAACTTAGAATTTTTTATTGTTTTACATTGCCTTTATATATACTAGAAATAAGGACTTTGTCTCTTGCAAAGTGTCACCTACATTAATTTTTACAGTATAATTTGTATATGCAGAAATTTTGATTTTATACTTTATAAAATATATGTATCATTTTAATTTATTTCCCATCATTTTCTACACTTATACATTTGTACTTAAAATCCAACTATACATTTTCTTATAGAAGACACTTTAGTATTTTGGGGGGGGGATCTGGTTGTGGGGCCTGAACTCTAGAACTGGGCTCTGTCCCTCAGCTCTTCAGCTCAAGGCTAGCGCTCTACCTCTTGAGCCACAGCGCCACTTCTGGCTTTTTGTTTTTTGCTTATATGGTGCTAAGGAATTGAACCCAGGGCCTCATGCATGCAAGGCAAGTGGCTCTACCACTGAATCACCTTCCCAGCCCCATGCACTTTAGTATTTCATATTTATTATTCAATATATTTGCATATTTGATTATGACTTAATGTAAGCATCTAAATTGTCTTTCATATAAAGAGTCATTTTCTAACATCATTTATTATTTCCCATTAGATAATAACTAATAAATATTATGATAAATATTATTTATAAACAATACTATAAAATGTAGAATTTTTTATCTACAAGGACATTTATATATTTCTTATTTTTTAATTACAATTCTAAGTGCCATACTGCTTTAGAATGTGGCTTTGTAGTGCTTTTGAGTAGTTCATTCTTTTAAAATGCTGAGCACTGTAACATCTGTACATTCCCCAAAGGTTCTGTTCCTTGTTTGTTTAAAAACAAAAAACAAGAAACAAAAAACAACACAACCCTTAGAATTTTATGGATTATTTCCAAGAGTCCTACGTAGATATTAAAATATATGGATATTCAGGTGTCTTATATAAAATGTTACATTATTGGCATATTATCTATGTACCTGCTCTTATATAATATAAATTATCTCTAGACCATTTTAATACTTAATGCAATATAAATGCTATGTAAACAGTCACTATCTTTCATTGTTTATGGGGTAATGACAAGAATAAAAGTGTGTTCATATTCAGAACAGACCCAGTTTTGAATCTATATATACAAAAAATATGGATGGGAAGAATCAATTGAAACTTGCTACAATTTGGAATTATTTTAAATAACTTTAAAAATATTTTATAAGCATGATTTATTTTTTGCTTGGTTGGCTCTCATGCTTTTTAAATTTTTCTATCAAGTGTTTTCTTTTTTTCTTATAAGTTTTTTATTGTGAAAATACAGTACAGAGGGGTTACAGTTACATGAACAAGGTAATGAGTACATTTCTTATCAAGCATTGTTGCCTCCTCCTTTGTTTCTCCCTTACCATACCTTCCCTCCCACCTCCACAACTACACTCCC